CTCCAGTCAAGCTTGCAAAAATCTACCATTTGCCCGATAATAAATGTTGGAAATGTAAGGAAACTGAAGGCACATTTTTTCACATTTGGTGGACGTGCCCAAAGATTAAGGCCTTCTGGGAAAGGATATATAATGAGTTAAAAAAGGTATTTAAGTATACCTTTCTAAAGAAACCAGAAGCCTTTCTCTTGGGCATTGTTGGCCAATTGGTGCTAAAGAAAGACAGAACTTTTTTATGTATGCAACAGCAGCAGCAAGAATACTCATCGCAAAGTATTGGAAGACACAAGATTTACCCACTCTGGAAGAATGGCAGATGAAGGTAATCGAATATATGGAACTGGCGGAGATGACTGGCAGAATCCGTGACCAGGGAGAAGAGTCGGTGGAAGAAGATTGGAAGAAATTTAAAGTCTATCTACAGAAATACTATAAAATTAATGAATGTTAAATTGAAGTCTGATTGAAAATAACTGGTATTGGCAAAAGCTTTGTGATTAAGAGTATGGAATATTTGATGGATAAGGTTGTAAAAATATTTATATATAAATAGATTAAGTGTTTTGAGTTAAGATAATGAAAGGAGGGTAAGGATTTGCTGAAAGGAGTTTTTAAATGGAAGTGCAAGCGGGAGATGTGGGGAAGTCAAAGAACTAGGTAAAGATAAGAAGGCTAAATGAAAGTATAAATATTTTTTAAATTTTTCTGCTCTCTTTTTTTTGTTTTCTTTTTTTTTTCTTTTCCCTTTCTTGTTATGGATATTGTCATTTCTGTTTGTTTTTTGTTATGGTTATTGTTGTTCTTTGTTTGTGGAATTTTTGTAATTCTGTACTTTTTGGAATTTTTTTTTGTAAAACCAATAAATATCTTATAAAAAAAAAAAAAATAAAGTGGTGCTTCAGGTTAAAAACAGTTTCAGGTTAAGAACAGACTTCCGGAACGAATTAAGTACTTAACCCAAGGTACCACTGTATACCCAAGCTCATTCCTGTCTGAAGTGAGAAGGCAAATTCTGAGGCCTCCCTCCTGAACAAACCCCAATAAATTTAAAGCTCCAAGACAAGAGTTGCCTAACGTTAGCAATGTCATTAAACCAGTTTAAAGTTGCAATCCTGTCTGTATTTACTTGGCAATAACAGAGAAATCCTAATTATAGGAAGTCAATGTAACATACGCCAGCATAACTTATGCCACCATGTCTATTTCAAACTCTGTTTAGGAGCCTCTGGGATTGGCTACTGCAGGCTAAAATTGCAGGTAGTGTGGGCCCAAGTTTTAGAGATTTGGGCTCTAGGCACATTACCAAGCAAGCAGAATTTAGAATAGGTGTCTCACCTTGCCTTGCCCCTGTAATGCCCTCTTCTAAGGACTTGTGCCTGCTGAGCCAGGGTCAGGGACTTACACTAATGTAACTCCAGCTCAGCTCAGATAAAGGACTGTTGTGACAGTCTCCACGAGGTAGGCAAACACCTGCAAGCTGGCCAATTTGCAGGAGAAAATTCCTCCCCGAATATGGTGATGGATTAACCTTAGCAAGGTCCTTATGCCAACTTGCTTACTCCCCCACTGAGTGGGCCTCTAAGAACTGGTGGGGGGGCTGTTAGCTCTTGATGAAGATATGAAAACCTGTTAGTTGAGGATGAAGGCTACCAGAGGGCTTAATACAGAGCTTTCCAAAATTTTCATGTTGGTGACACACTTTCTAGACATGCATCATTTCACGACACAGTAATTCTGTTTTACAGTGGTACCTTGGTTCTCCAACGCCTTGGTACTCAAACAACTTGGAACCCAAACACTGCAAACCCGGTAAGTGTTCCGGTTTGCAAACTTTTTTCGGAAGCCGAACATGCTCCGTTTTGAGTGTTACACTTCCGATTTGAGTGCCGCACTTCCATTTTGAGTGTTACGCTGAAGTCTGTCTGCTTTTGCTATTTATTTTGCATTTTTGTTTTTGTGGCTTGTTTTGTTTTTGTGACTGTGTGGAACCCAGTTCAGCTACTGATTGACTGGTTGTGTGACTGCAGTACATTGTTTATTGCTTTCATTTTATGGATCAGTGGTCTCATTAGATAGTAAAATTCATGTTAAATTGCTGTTTTAAGGGGTTGTTTTCAAAAGTCTGGAATGGATTAATCCATTTTGCGTTACTTTCTATGGGAAAGTGTGCCTTGGTTTTGGAACAGACTTCCAGAATGGATTAAGTTTGAGAATCAAGGTACCACTGTACTAGCAAACTGGAGGAGTGGAGGAAGTGTTTGCGCGACACACCTACACACTGCAGCTGACACTAATGTGTCACGACACACAGTTTGGAAAGCTCTGGCTTAATAAGTGGGCCTCATCCCTTGAGAATGTTCTCTGTGCTGTTTTTGAATGGATATTTCAAATGAAGGCGCTTCACAGAGACTACTAAGATGCTACAGTATTTTTCAGCCAAAGAAAATTAATTTGGGATTTTGAAGGCGAAGTAACTAGAATTGCAGGGAAGACTGTAAATCAGCTTTTGGAATCAGTTACACAGCAATCATTTCCTGCTTTGTAGGAAAGACATCCCAAAGCAAACACACTCTTTGGACTGGCAAATTAGCCAGCCAAACATAGTCATCTGTCAGTTTTTCCGTGCAAGCAAAACAAAATAAAATATCTGGAGGGAGCAATCCTGTGTGCACAAAGCTGGCATAAAAACAAGCCAGTGTGAATTAATCCGGTGTAAAGTTACACCAGACCCAAACCCCATTCAGGAGTGGGGTTGGGCAGCTCCTCCTCTAAAACCTGGCAGAGGGAAAGCAAGCCTTTAAAATAGTGTTCTACAACAGGTTGCCAGGTCATGCGACCAAGCTGATTCTGCTTAAAATGCAGTCTAAGTCCCTCCTCTTTGGACCTGCCCCTGCCACACCCAAGGAACCCTACTTTTGGGGAGACTTACACCACCCTCGGAGGGACGCGGGTGGCGCTGTGGGTTAAACCACAGAGCCTAGAACTTGCCGATCAGAAGGTCGGCGGTTTGAATCCCCGCGACGGGGTGAGCGCCTGTTGCTCGGTCCCTGCTCCTGCCAACCTAGCAGTTCGAAAGCATGAAGTGCAAGTAGATAAATAGGTACCGCTCCAGCGGGAAGGTAAACGGCATTTCCGTGCACTGCTCTGGTTTGCCAGAAGCAGCTTAGTCATGCTGGCCACATGACCCGGAAGCTGTACACCGGCTCCCTCGGCCAAGAAAGTGAGATGAGCGCCGCAACCCCAGAGTCGGTCACGACTGGACCTAATGGTCAGGGGTCCCTTTAAGTTTACTTACACCACCCTCACCTCAGCCAGCTGAGCAACTTATACCAGCATCTCTCCAGCTAAGTCAGGGTTAGAGACTTACCAGATTCCTGGCTCAGTCAGAGTTAAACCAGAGATCTGCTGCATCCTAAGCTGCTCGTCCTGCCAGATCTTTCCATAGTATTGCCTTCTTAATGCAGTTCAAGAGCATGTATGTTTACTTAAAAGTATCACTATAGTCAACAGGACTTTTCACAAGTAAGTGTGCATAGGTTGCATAGGATTGCACAGTCTTAGTCACCTCAAAAAGGAAAAACTGAGCAACTGCGTTGTCAAGCCTCAAGCTCTGGATAAATGAGCACACTAGTCACTGAATTCATGTCATCCAGGGATTTCAGAAGGATAGGAATAATGAAGAATCAGTAAAGTTAATGGCAGTTCAGTCTGAAAGAGGCTGAAATCTGAAGAAAAATGAGGGCTGCAGGCTGGCAACAATTATTTATAGTAGCTCTCCAATGTATCATTCAGCCACATTTTCAATCAGCTTTGAAATTCAGAAGGAAAGAACAAAAAGGAATGACTGTGATTTTGAATAATTTTAACAGGTTTACTAGATTGTTGTGTTGTTTTTTAAAAAAAGAATCTATACTTAATTCCAACTCTATCCAGCACATTAAATCAAACAAAATGGCATAAATTCTCAACTGCCTAGAGCAGTGTTTTTCAACCTTTTTTGGGCAAAGGCACACTTGTTTCATGAAAAAAATCACGAGGCACACCACCACTGTGTGCGGAGAGGCAGATGTCAGAGCCCCGCTGCTCTCTATGGGGAATCGGATGAGAGCGGACCGCCTGTCCGCTCTCATCCGATCCCATCCAATCTGATCCCCACCCAGGACGGATGGAAAATAGGGTGGACACAGTCCGGCACCCGCCTAGTGGGCGAAAATTTGACATTTTTTTAAAAAAAAATCTTTCGGATTTTTCCATTTTTCCCACGGCACACCAGGCAACATCTCGCGGCACACTAGTGTGCCGCGGAACAGTGGTTGAAAAACACTGGCCTAGAGTGACTATCCTAATTAAACTCAATATTTCTTCTTTGTTACTTTGCTTAATCTGTTGGTCTGTGCTGTGCTGTTTTGGACAATGAGAGAAACAAACAGGGTAGGAAAGCAGAATTCTTCCATGGTGCAAATTGGCGAGCTCTCTTACTCAAATGAAACTATCTGGAGCAAACAGCCTTTTGATAAAAAAAGATTGTAGGCCCCATGCAATAGTAACTGGTCATTACATGAAATAAAGTTTTTTTAAGGTTCAATAATTTGCATCAGTTATGTTTAATGAATATCCCAATGACAGTGGCTCTTAGTGCCACGTGACTTGCTAATTCATGATCTAAAAACCTCATATTCAAGACCTGTAGTATGCTTTTTGATGTCCTTAAAAACTAATATAGTACCATGTATTGGTTCACCAAATTTCCCACCCAATTGCCCAACTATATAGGCCTTCTAGGTCTAAGCCATGTGAAGAAGGCTGTACAAAAGCTCATTTTAAAAATGCATTCAAGCCTGGGTACCATACATACTGAAACTATTGATTTCAAATAGGACTTAAGCACTGCTAACTCTCCAAAGAATAAGGCAACACAACCTTTTTTTTTGGTTCCTATATCCTCCTTGTGGTGAGCAAAAAATGATGAGAGGCCTGATTTGCACAAATCATTTTTTCAGCTCTTTTCTTCTTCCAGTCTCACAAGATAAAGTTGTCTAGGTACCATAGAAGCTCTGTTGATGCAAGAGCTTTGTATTGGTGCTCTTTGTGATCAAAGGAAAAATATTATTTTTTTTCCCTAATGGCAAGTCTTTCTGGGACCTTATTTTCTAGTGGGAAGAGAAGTTTGACTCTAAATCTTAAATTTTAAATGTATTGAATTAGGTAACATAAAAAAGATACAAAGAAGAAGAGAAGTCAAATACAATGAGGAAATACTTCTTTCAATGTAACTGAATTTAATTCTCGTGAAACTGAGAAACAAATCACTCCAGCTAAATCAGAAGTCCGGAACACAATTCTGGAAATCTACACTGCAATGGAGTGTATAAGCGAATGCTGATTTTCTTTCATTAATTTGGCAAAAATAGTCCATAGTACATATATTATTAAATATTGATAACAGTATTCTTATTACCTAGATGACATGAAATAAGGCTTCCGAATTAATTCAGAGATTTTCAGCATTCTCATTCTTACAAAACTGTTTGTCTTTTACCCATCAGTTTTGAGCACAGATCTTCCATGAACTTTAAACTTTATTTCATTTTGGATAAATCCAGAATACAAGCCCCCACTTCCCTTTACTCTCCCAGCACTATACATTTCCCCCAGACAAAAATCAAAGACATACCTTTACCCAACTGGAAGTAACACATTGGATGAATTTGATTGGTATACTAAACGCAAGCCATCCAATTAATCTTGTTTACATGTCCTGAAAATTATAGATGGCTTAGAACTTTGAAAATACACTTAAAACTATCAAAAATAGCTGTAGTTTAAAATATTTGTCTCCACATTATTAAAGCTATTGTTAAATTATATTTTTATAAATGCCGAGTACAAATAGATAAAAAGTGATAAATCATGGTATAAAAAGAAAGAGACCCTTTTCAGGAAAATGTATTTGCAATTCAACTGATCATATAAAAGCATAAATTAAAAAAAGTTTATATATTTTTATGTGCTATGGTTTCACCATTCATTGTAACTACATTCCAGAATACTGCAAGAGAGGTCAGGGCACATTGTTCTTGTGCATGTAGCACAGTGACCATAACTTTTACACTGAAGTCACTCTCATAACCACCTCTCCAGAGCTGTTGTCATCTGATGAATCCTCCTGAGGTCGCATTCGACTGAAGAGATGTAACAAAACATAGCCACACTGAAATCTTGGTGAGGTTAACTGTGTTGGATGAACTAAACTTCTGTTTCTAAATGCATTTAGTGGTAACCACAAAGTCCTAGATGTTGTGGAGTCTCCTCGGTTGCTCTCTTCTATGTCTGTAGCTTTATCATAATTTAATACATCCCAGTGCAGATTGACAGCCCGCCAACGCTTAAATACTCTGCAAACTGAGGCCCCTTCATGCACAATAAGTCCTGAAAGTAAAAGAAACAAATTATTCACTCCCTTAGTTCTTCATACAGAGCACATTTATTTGTTAAATAAGTGGCATTAGAATTGAATTAGTACCCTGAGCCAAAGCACAGGTAAACCCAAGTAGCTGAATTACAGGTGGCCAGGACCCATTTATATATGGACTTCCGGGGGAGGCGCCTCCGGCAATGGCGGAATTCCTCTGATCAGGAGGAATCTGCTCCGTGGAAATCTGGGTCTGGCCGCCACGGTGAAGGCGGAGACCCGTTAAAATCGCAGGCTGACCTTTTCCTGTGGACAATTTGACTTTAAAGTAATTACCCATGAGTAGAGCTGAAACGGAAGAATTGGATCTCTAAAAGTTTAATTTGGTATTGTAACGGGGAGGTTCAAAACAGGAAGTCCGCCTTCCCTTTGTGTAAATAGACTGAGGCAACAAAGTTGCAAGCTGGAGTCCTGGAAGGTCTTTTGTAAAAGATCAAATTTCCAACGGTGAAGAACATTAAACCCCCTCTTGGAGGCAGGAGAAGAGAGGGGGAGGTTGTGGATTGAGTGTGCCTGCGGGAGAGAGCGAAGAGGCTTAAAATACCGCCGCTCTGACCCTGGAAATGGGCTGCCAGTAAGACTGATGGGTTTTTGGGGTTTTTTTTTAATGTTCATTGATAGCGCTTAGAACGTTCATTGACAGTTAGCTAAATAAGAGAAATACAATGTTTCTACTGTTTCCGGCTGCTTTTAAAAAAGGAGGAAAGTAACTGAAAATTGAAACTAACTTCGGATTATTGAAACTGTGTTTAAAAGAGGACATATTGACTGATACAAATACAACTTGTCTTCCCCTAGTGGAAGCTCTTGAAATCGGTTACTTTACAGGAGCTGGGCTAGGGGAATTTCCAGCTCCAAGATAAGAAAAGTGTGAGACTTTGGAATTGACCTTGAATTTCTAAAGTGTTATGGCAAGCGGAAGGGAAAAAACAGTCGGGATGTCGACAGAGGAGGCCTTAGTGGCTGCATTTTTGAAAATAAATGATTCGCTGGAACAATTTCATAAGAAAACAGATGCGAGGAATATGAAATTGGATGCTGCAAATATTGAGACTGATTTAATTGTAGAAAGCTTAAATAAGTTGGGACAAAAGGTGAATACCAATTCAGAAATCACCCAGAAACTGATACAGGAACCTACTCTGATACAGCAAACTGCAGATGAAGTCAGGGAAAAAACCCTTGCTGCTGAACTTAAGGTGGTACAACTGGAGAGGAGAGTCCCATCCATACAAAGACAGCTTGATGAACATAAGCTGACAGGCGTTATGATTGAACTTAGAGAAGAGCGGATGAATTTGGGGACCAGGGCCCTGTCTGAGTTGGAGAAGGAAAGCCTGACAGAGCTTCAGGAGGCGACAGGACTAACATTGGTTGAGAAAGAGAGGTATTTGGGGGTTAGTATGACCGCCAAAAATGTGAATCTGCTTAAGGACAACCGTGAAGGATGTTGGATTGAAGAGAAGGGGAATTTGGAAATATGGACAAATCAGAAGTTGTTACTGTTGGGCTGAGTCGTTGTGGTGGGGATAGGGGCTGCTGTGTTGCTGGGGATGTTGCTGTTGTTTCAAACATTGCAAGCTCTGGATGGGATGGAGGGTCTCAGGAGGTGGCAGAGGGATGCTGCTAGAGTTGTTTGGCAGGGCGGGAAGCCTCGACTTAAGCTTAAGATATTGATGGATGCTAAAGAAGGAGGTGGACCTCCCCTGCCAGACCTTTAAACTTAGTTGTGAACCATCTGCTTTTTGCTGGTTGAGAGAATGGTTGCTTCTTGAAAACACCAAAGTGTTGGATAATGGCAGACGAAGTTGATGGACTATAGGGAATTAGCGGAAATGACTGGCAAGATCCGAGACCAGGGAGAAGAGTCGGTGGAAGAAGATTGGAAAAAGTTTAAAAACTATATAGAAATATTTCTATATATTTATAGAAATATTGTAAAATTAAGGATTGTTAGAAAAATGTTGGAATGAAATTACATGGCTTTAGTAGAAATGTCATAAGGAATTAAGTATAAATAGATTAAAGAAAATTAAAGGAAAAGTATGGCAAGAATGTGTTAAGATAATTATAGAACAGAAAACAGTAAGATGGAAAGGAATTGCTGAAACAAATAATAGAAGTAGAATACAAAAGGGGAGGTGTGAGGAAGTCGCTGGAAATAAGAGAAAGAAATATAAGATATTGAAAATGTCTGAGCTGTTTTTAAATTGTTTTTGTTTTTGCTTGATTTGTTATTTGTATTGTTTTCTCTTTCTTTTTTCTTTTTCTCTGTAGTGTTGTGTTGAAAATTTTGAAAAAGTAATAAATATCATTAAAAAAAAAAAAGGACCCATTTATATATGTTGTAATAAACTGATATGCATCCAGGCATTTTTTTTGGTTCTGAGCAAGAGAAAATGATGGTTTTTAAACTTATACTACCATAAATGTTTCATTTGTTTGCTGAATCAGTATAAGTTGGCGACACAGCACATACATTATAAACCTAATCAATTACATCATAAATCTGATCAATTATATAATTTTATAATTTATTAAAGGCCAGCCTTTAAAGAAAGAAAGCTAAATATAAACAACTGTGACTTTTTGTCTTAATAATAATAATAATTTTTATTTATACCCCGCCCTCCCCAGACAAGGCTGGGCTCAGGGTGGCTAACAAGCAATAATAAAAACAAGTTGAAGGAATAGAACTTTAAAAAGATTAAAATACAACATTAAAATATTGAAACATTAAAATATTAAAATGCAGCCTCATCACAGGAGGAGAAAGGAAAAAGAAAAAAGAAAGAGGGGGAGGGAATCAAATTGGCTCCAAGCCAAAGGCCTGTTGGATTAGACCATCTGGTATATGTAGTCCAGCAATGTGTGTACATGCATGTATTGTGTGTGTACATATACAATAAATTAATGCAGTGTGAGACTCAGACACTGCAACAGCAAAGTATGCTAACCCTGCAGGTGCTAATATAAAACCTGTAGCTACAACTGAGCCATAATTAAGCACTTTTAAGCACTTCTAACATTATTATTAATTTGTTATTTGCATCCCATCTTTCTGTTCATCAAGTTCCCCCAAGATGGCTAGCAACAATAACAAAGCGGAACAAATTAAAACAATTACACACACACAAACACACACAAAATAAGAAGTGAATTAAAAAATGCAACAGGGACATCAGCAGACAACAAAATCAAGGACATGTTCAAGTTTCATTGAGGCCAAACACCTTCTAAAAAACCCAATGTTTTCACTGTGCATCAAAAATGAAACAAAGAGAGAACTAAATGAGTTTCTTATGGGACAGTATCAGCCTGGATACCACCACTGAAAACACTCTAGTGACCACCTGCCGCACCTCAGACAGTGGGGGTAGGGGTACAAAAAAGAGCCTTAAATGATTATTTGGGTAAGCAGGTGGGTTCAAACAGCAGGAGACTTCAAGGTTATAATATTCAGAATAAAAACAGTACTTTGAATTGGGCTTGAAAACAAACTGAAAATCAGTGGAGATGATGTAATAAATACTGGACCTATATGCTCCTTGTGTCATGTCCCAATCCCTTTGATATGCCAGGCTTTGTGTACAAATAACTGCTGTTGGGCAATTTTAAAATCTTTGCTTTATTTATTGTTGATTAAAAACTTTACACTTGAGAACTTTGCTGATGTATGATTTCTACTTCCTGAAGAAACAGACATACATTTATATATGTAAGAAAAAAAGCATATTCCAAATTATTTCTTATCAACTTTAACAAAATGAATGAATGATTTCATTTTTTGACCTTACCTATGCACACCAGATCCATAAAACCATACATTCCATAGCAGATTTGAAAAAGGACATCTTTTCTTTGCCATACTGCATAAGGACTGAAGGCTGACCACAGAAGCCAAGTTACACTTGCTACTAAGAACAGTGATCCCAACATTACAGCAATCATCTGCACTTTCTCAACCAGAGTTACAGTAATGCTTTGCCACTAGAAGGAAGAAGACATAACAAGGTATAAAATGTTTACAAAAACATTGAAGGTCTGTTATGACAACCCATGAAAATGTTCATAGAGCCTTTTTACATGTATGCTGCATTATACCTGTGCAATAGGCTCCTCCATCCCTCCCATTAAATCTGCTTAAATTTGAAGAAGTTTAAATAACAGCTTGGAGTGTCACACAGAAATGACATGCTGCTTAGAAATGACAGTTAAATACTTGGTGCAAATATAGAACCATGTGAACACTATAATTAATATTTATAAAAATATTTATATATCACAATTCATAAAAATATCAGTGCCATTTACAAGAATTATACAATAAAAACCACATAAAAATGTTGAAATCAGAAATCACCTAACAGTTATGAGAAAATATATTCCTAATTTCCTGCATAAACTTTATATGTACTTAACAGTGTAATTCTATACACTGAAGAAGAAGAATGATTAAAAAACTTCCACTGTTTTCAATGAGACTTAATCCTAGGAAAGTAGGTATACAATTGAAAATTATCTCTACCATGGAAATCAGAAAAACTTTAAAAGCTTTTGACTTAAGCTGAGTCAATAGATGGACTATACTTGAAAAATTTCTCCAGGGAAATCCTGCTACATAAAACAATGTTGTTTGTGCAAGAGAGAGAGAAAGAAAAACCAACATATGCTCATGTGGAAAATAATTTTATCCTTCCAAAATGCTCTTTTTAAAAATGTAGAACCCAACATTATTTTTGATGAAGGAAAAGAACAATGCTCAGCCAAAATAATTTTTTAAGCTTGTCAGCTTCGGCTATTTAGTAAAACCTCTGGAAAAAAACACAGTGAGAGAAGCTATCAAATTACAGGTATTTTGGTTATAGCTATTTCCTCACATTTATCAAAGAAAGACAGAACCACATTCATCACTACAATGGTTACATCTCAAGTTCATAACCATATGAACATTTCATATGTTACTTCAATGAAATTTTAAAAGATTGGTTTTTTTAATGTATAAAAAGTATGTGCTAGAATAATACATAAAAGAATTGTTCTATTCTTACTAGTGTACTGGTATTAGTATATAACCATGCAGTTGTGGGAGACCTTAAATGTAGAAAATAATGGCAGCAGTGTTAGCCCATAAAAGAAATCCTGAAACCATATTATGACAATGCCTTTATTACAATAAAATAAAAACAAAATCACAAAATAGTGTGCAAACTTTTAGGTTCTCCCAAGCTCTTCAACATCTAGCCTAATGATTAATATTGGAAAATGGGAACACTTGCACACTATTTTTTGTCATTTTCAGTTTTTCTGGTTACAGAAAAATTTCCCTGGAAATAAAATTGGTTTCGACTTCCGGGGTGGCGCCATCGGTAATGGCGGACTCCCTCTGATCCGGAGGGACCAGCTCCACAGAAAACGGGTCTTTCCCGCTACGGCGAAGCAGGGACCCTTTCAAAAATCACAGGCGGATGACGCCTGTGACCATGGGACTCGGCGGGCACCTTTAGCGCCCCCCCAACCCGTAAAGGAACCCGTTTACGGGCTCCGGAGCGAAGATGGCGCGGTGCTGAGAGTCAACTGCTTCTTCCGTGGAGCGAAGCCGCACAGCCGTTGCCGGAGAGCGCTGCCTTTTTCCTGGGACAATTTGGCTTTTAAAACAATTACCCGTGAGTACTTTAATTTCGGACAATTGGACTTTGAATAATGACCTGCGAGTAGAAAGGAAAATTGGACCAAGAAATTCATCTCAATTTGGCACTGAAACGGGAAGGTCTAAACAGGAAGTCAGCCTTCCGTTTCTTGTAGATAGATTAAAGCAAAGACATGGCAAACTAGAGTTCAGAAAATCGCTTGTAAAGGATTAACTTTCATCATTTAAAATTGTTGAACCCCCTTCGGAAGCAGGAGAAGAGGGGGGATTTTTTTTCCCCGGACTGTTTAAACCTGCTAAAAGAGTGTAAAGCAAAGTAATTTTCCACCGTCTTGATCCTGGGAGCGGGTGTCAGGACTGACGTTCTTTGGGAAGCTCATTGACCAGAGACAAACGTTTTTGACAGATAGTTAAAAGAAGAGAAACATAGTGATTCCATTGTTCTCCTTCGCATATTAAAGGAACAAATATTGACAAAATATCTGAAAAAGGAAACTTTGTTGTTAGATCTGCCTTTAAAAGAAAAGAACAAATAGAAGTTCTTCCCCTAGAGGGAGCCTGTGAAACTGTTACTAAATCTGAATCGGGGAGCTCTGCAGCTGCAGCAGATTACGATCGTGGGAATAGACTTCTGACCTTGCAGGAAAATGTATCCAGAAGCTCTGATGCGTGCTTTCTGCAAAACAAGTGCCCTACTGGAACAGCTACATGAGAAGACGGACTTGATGACTGCTGCGATCGGAAATTTCGGACAGGTAGTGTCCCACCCAGGAATTAAATCAGGAGTGTGCTCTGACAGATCAGATGAGGGAAGAGGATGTTGTTGAACCTCGGGCGCCAGAGATGGAGGGAGCTGTGGCCCAGCAGGAACATGAGTTTTTGGATCTGACAAATGAACTTGGAAAAAGCCAGATTTGGAAAGACAAAGTTTGGTTTGGTTTGGAAATGGGGGGTTGGATAGACCCCCCTATGCAGGGATGTTTGGACTTTTCAAGTCTGGCAATGGGCCGTGAGATGTTTGGGGTTGTGGGGGCTCTTAATTCTGGAGGGATTTTGAAACATGTTTTTAAATACCACATGGAGTTTAGTGTGGAGCATGGAAAAGGGATTGATTTGTTGAGAAGGGTCAAAAACACTGTTAAGCTGGAGTTCCCACAAGTGAAAGGAGCAGGAGACAAAGTAAAGTACAGGTATAAATATGAAGAAGAGCCGCGGAAGAGACATGGAAGAGACTTAAGGGCCTCTGACATAAGATTACCAGGTTAATGCGCTAGATTGATGGGATAGAAAGCACTGACAAAACCCGGGACCAGGAGGAAGAGACGCTGGATGAAGATTGGAAGAATTTTTTTTTTTATTAGGATTGTTTTATAAAATTGATGAATGTTAGAAAAATGTTGGAACGAAATTATTTGGCTTTAGCAAAAATGTTAAAAGAATTATGTAAGAATATGTTATGGTTATGAGAAATTGGTATAAATAAGATCTAAGTTTTAAGTTTTAAGGTCTTTCATAGTAAGATAAGGTTAAAATAGATTAAGGTAATGTAATGACAGAATATTATGAAAAATGGAAAGGATTTGCTGTGACTATTAATAACTAGGATACAAAAAAAGGGAGGAGTGAGGAGGTCAAAGAAAGAAGGTAATGCCAGTCAAGGATATGAGAATATTGGATTTTTGTGGCTTATTTTTGTTTTTTGATTGTGTTCTGTTACGTGCTTTGTTCTTATTTTTTGATTTTGATTTTTATCAATTTGTATTGTTTGATTGTGGTTTGTTTTTCTTTTGTTTTTTCTCTTTTTTTTTCTTCTCTGTTCTTTCTGTAACTTTAAAACTCTTAATAAATATCATTTAAAAAAAAATTGGTTTCAATTACCACAAGCTCTACCACAAGCTCTACCACAAGCTCTACCTCCCCTTTTTCCCAGCAGGCAACAGTCACCATTGCTCTCTACTTCAGTTAGAGATTATACCAGGGCCAGCCGCAGACATTTTGGCACCTGAGGCAAACCACAAAATGTTCCCCTCCCCACCAGGGAAGAAGGGGTGAGTGAAGATGTACATCAGGAACAAGGGGAGAATAAAGATCTACATTGGGAGCAGGGGCAAGAGGAGACCAGCAGCACCTCCTATTCACCAAGGGGCAGCTGTAGAGCTGGCACAGGGGGGGGGCAGCTGCTGAGGAGGATGCAGATCCAACACAGCTATCACTGCCACTGTGGCAACAGCAGAAGCAGGCAATGTATTCCTTGGAGGCGGATCTGTTGCCCCTGTGGATCCTCCCTCCCAATGTGGTCACCTCACCTTGCCTCATGGATGAGCCGGTCATGGATTATGCCCTATGTAAGCAACTGAGATAATGGAAAGAGGAATTGTTGGCAGCCAATAAGCATGGATCAACCCTGTTTGTCTAACAGAATATACACCAAAACAGATCATTCCCCCCCCCCCCCAAGTTATTAGCACTTTGGACCATGTGGGCTAGGAAACCAGGGTAGGAGTGGCGAGAAGTAGAAGAAAGAGGGATGACTGCAGATGAAATAAGCCCTGTGACCTTGGCATAGTGAGGTGTCAGCAACTCACAATAGATCCTTTCATTGTCTCTGGGAGACAATGTGACTAGAATGTTCATGTGATCATGTGATCTTAATGGAATTGTGCCTAGAGATTCTTTGCCAAATAAGAGAATTACTACTGACATTAAATATTTCTATGTGTCAAGACAAAGAGAAGCATGACTTGTCAGGGGAATGCTGTTGGGTGAGAGCATCCCCCCTCCCAAATTGAATGAGACATAATACAGTCTAATCCTCTTAGGTGGTCTGGAAATCTAGTAATACAATATGTGAGGGGTGCCATGAGAGCCAACATGCTATCTCTGCCCCCAATCATATTGCTTTCTATAAGTCGAAGGGTCCCTGTTCCTACTCATGTATGCTCTTTGTGGGATAATAATAATAATAATAATAATAATAATAATAATAATTTATTATTTGTACCCCGCCCATCTGGCTGGGCCTCCCCAGCCACTCTGGGCGGCTTCCATAGAAACAAAAAATACAGTAATATATAGGACCCTGCTTCAGACAGATGCCCTTCAACTCATGAAGGGCAATGAGGCAGAACTAGCACATTCATCTCCTCATCCCCTTCCCCATCCAGCCAATGGGTTATAGTCCCAGATTTCCAGAATCCCTAAAGAAGGCTTTAGATCAATTCACAAGGGTGGGGAGTAGTGGGGAAAGTGTGTGCTAAATGTTTGTAATTTAATCTGTATGGGGAAATATGTATGTTTTGATAGTGGTGCTGAAAAAATAAGTGCTTTGATAACTTCCTACAGCAGAGAGGTAGAATGAACAGGAATAAATGTCTTGCACATTTTACACATTGTAGCTGCCAAGGTCTTTATGTATTTGGGAGCAACAGAGTGAAGACAAAAACTGTTTCAATACTAAATGATAAAATATTACAAAGCCTATTGGGAAGAATGAATTATTGTGCCCTATTCTACCCAGGTGAGTGAAACTCCATTCATCACTGAAGAGAGGTAGGAAACATTCTCTTCTGGACAGCCTTCTGGGAGCCATATGCCAGTGGCAGGTGGAGCCAGAAACAAAAGTGGACATGGTAACAGGCAGAGCCATTAATATGAATGCAGCTTCTGTAGACTAGTTTCTACACACATTCTCACACCCTTCTGAATCCTCCATCCAGGCAAACAAGCAAGATTATCAGCCCAGCAAAAAAACTCCAAGAGGGTGCAAAGCAAAGCTGGGGGTGGTATGGCCTGGGAGAGGGTGGGTGTGACTAGGGAGTGGGGCTGTGGAGATTGTCCTGAGTGCCAGATAGATAGGCCTGAAAGGCTTAATTCACCCCACAGCCTAAGCTTCTCCATCCCTGGTCTTAGAGATTTAACTAAATAAAGGAAGTGGCAGGTTTTCTGTCAGATTTAACCTATAGGGTTAATCAGAATTTCCAAATTTAAGAAAGCTAGGGATTTTAGAAATAGGGCTAAAAATGCATTTTTTAAAATTCTAGCCCAACTCTATTCTTTTTTTTTAATGTATTTTTATTAAAGATTTTCTTGGTTTACAAAAATATGTGTAATGTCTCTCTCTCTCTCTCTTTTTTCTCCAAGTAACATTTTTTACAGATCAGTTTCATTTGTTGAGACATTATGAAGAAGAGGGGGAAAGGGGGGAGGGGGAAGATGGGTGGGGGTGGGTGGCGATGTTTCTATTATACTTAAGATATGTGTGGTTTTGTGTCAGGGCCGCTTGTGCAGGTTCTCTGCTATTCACTTGTGTTCCTGTGGTGGTGAGAGAGGTTAGGGTTGACCTAGGGCGTGGTTATCTGGTTGTTTGTTTGTTTGTTTGTGATTGGCTGTAGTGATCTTTGTTTTCATGTGTGAGTGGGGTGGGTGGGTGTTTTCGATCAAGTTAGCCATACTGATTTGTATGCTGTTGGTGGTTTCTTGTCGTTGTCTTGTTGGGCTATGTATGTGATAAAGGGGAGCCATACCAGGGTGAAGGCATTTTCTTCCATTTGTCCCCGTGTCAGTTTCAGTTTATTGGTTAGTTTTTCTAATAAGGCTGTTTCCCATACTATTTGGTACCATTGGTCCATGCTTACACCTGACAGGTCTCTCCAGTGCCTGGTTATGGTGTTTCTGGTTGCTGAAAGTAGGTGGGTTATTTGTGGTGTAAATGGGCATTATTGTCTTGGAAGATGTTTAGTAGGGCCAATTCTGGGGTGATTTCTAATACTTGCTTAGTTATTTTACATATTTCTCGTATGGCTGTTGTCCAAAATAGTTGGATTTTGGGGCACTCCCACCACATGTGGAGGTATGTGCCTATGGAGGTGCACCCTCTCCAGCATTTTGGTGAGGTTCCTGGGCGTATTAGCGCTAGTTTTCTTGGTGTTAGGTACCACCTGTAGGTGAGTTTCAGAGTGAGTTCTTTTCTTCTCATTGATATGGATTTAAAGCGGGGTTTAGACCACATTCTGATCCATTGAGTGGGATTAATCTCATAGTCTATGTCATCCTCCCATTGTTTTTTGATTGCGTCTAGGGGGTTTGTTGGATTTTGGAGTAGTATTTTGTATATTGCAGATACCATTCCTTTACTGTGTCCCTTTGTTGTTAGGAGGAAGTTTTAGAAGGTTGTCAGGGGCCTAGTTGCTGCTGATTTTACTGCTGGATTGTTTAAGAGGGCATGTAATTGGTGTTGTGCTAACCAGGGCATTTGGGTGTCTTCTAGTTTATCTTGTATTTCTTGTGTTGGCAAAGGTTTGTTATTTTTAAAAAAGTCTATTAGGCGATAGAAGCCTTTGGTTTGCCAGGTTTTTATCTGGAGGTTTTGTGCTGCATAGTGGAATAATGGGTGGTACACCAGGGGAATTAGTGGGGATGGGGTTGGGGATAGTTTGCCTAGTCCAACTCTATTCTAATTGCAAAATTTGTTATCTACATTGGGTGGGAACTCCATCAATGGAAGCCCTGTGCAAGGACTTCTGCTTGTACAACAGCGCTCCCCCCCCTTCCCGTGTGCCCCCCACCAGAGGCACTCTGGATGACCAAAATTTGTTGTGCACACCCCTCCCAGCCCTTGAGCTGTGCTGGGCTTTGAAGAGGTGTAAGGGCTCCAACAGTACAGTGGATTAATACACTGGGTTTGCAAAATCCCAGTGCAAATGGCAGCTTCAGTGGAGGAATTTTCATCAGAATCACAGCATGAGAGAAATGCACAAAGGCTCATTTAACATCATGTCTACAAAAATATTGCACACTGATATCAACCCTTGTACCTTGGACAATGTAAAGGAGCATAAATCTGGCAAAATCGGCCCTTAATTTCTCAGGATAACCTTCACTATATCCTTTCAACTTGCACGTTACTGATTTAGAGATTTGGCACTTATCAAAGCACTGCCAGGCAGAATTTAATTTCTGGAGCAATCCTATGTTGTCAAGCGAATTTAAGCAGAACCTAAACAGCTCTTAAGGTATGACGAAGTTAAGAACTTTAATGCCTAAGCTTGATGTTGCCATATTTTTCCTCACTGATGAACTGAATGGAAAATATTTACTGTGTCTTATGATAAGGACATGCAGACTCAGTGAATGGAGAGCAGTTAATAAAATGATGAATAAACCAAAGTATAAAAAATTGTTACTGTATTCATACAGTCTGTATGATTATTGGAATTTTGAAATGTTACCTGACAAGGGTTTTTCATTTTAATTGCTATAACATGGTATCTGTAACAGCAGAGTTCACAAGTCCAGGACCCTCTTTCACTAATCCATTTCAACAGGCAAAGTTGATGTGTATACCGAACTGACCCATCACATCGACAGGGATTTAACAATTCACCCTAGGAAAAATAACAAATAGGGTTAAATGTCATAATAAATATAATATTAAGCTTCCAAATCCTTGAACAGTGTCTCTTAAAATCAGTTTGCTGGCATTAAAAAATATATATTATATTAGCTGGAATAACCTCCCCTGGCCCCGACCACCAGTTTAGTTCGGAAATATTATTCAATATTCTCCCATCCCAGGGTCACAAAAAAGAAAGGAAAAACATATAGACAAGTTAACTCTTTGAGCAAAGAGCAATACCATTTGTATTGTATTTGCAAAAATGTTCATTTGCAATTTTTGAAATTTTTGAGCATTAATGGTGAATGTGGCATCTAATAATATGTCCTGCAGCTTAACAAGAGTCTCAAATCTAAATGTCCATCTTAAAATAATGCAAATTTTGAGATGTTTTTATATGCCTAGAACACTTAAGCATATGTAGGTAACATGTGAGTACAGATTTCAACATTCACTGAGTAAGTCTTTAGTGATTCATCAGCCTCTTTCCTTGGCTCCCGGAGGTCCATGCCTCCCTTCTTGTATAAAATTAAACCTTTCCCTAATGCCTTTCCAAGAATCCTAAAGCTTATTTCCCACTGCTTCACAAAACTTAAAATTCAAAATTCCAAAGAGTAAAACTAATTACACCACTATACAAAAAGTGTAGAATATGCAAAGAAACCATTACTAGACTTATCTAATTTACATAGTCACATATTCTGTACCGCTGCAATGCAGAATTTCAGAGCATCACATTAGACTATGTTGGAGTTTTGTCATCCGCTTACAAAGAAACATGTGTCACATTGTTCATGCCTCTTTAATACACAAATTCAGATAAACAATCACCCACAACAGATCACTATCACCAGCACACATCCTGTTGAAGTAGCTCTTTACTGTAGTCTGGAGAAGGGAAGTCTCTTGACGTTCACTGCAGAAACCTTGGAAGAAATTCCGTTGCTATCTGCAATCAGTTTTCACTGCATAGAAACTTTGGGCCCATTAATTTAAACAGCACAGTGAACCACAAAGTGAGCCGTAAGTATCAAACACAGGAAATTGTCACCTGATGAGACAGCTCTAAGGCTGTAATGACAGATTTAAGAATTACCACTAATTTGGTAGAATATGCAAGGGAACCAAGTGGGGGAATACGGAGCTCTTTCTGTTTAAGTTGACAGCTTTGACTCGTTATTAATGACTTGGAGAAAGAGGGGACAGCAGGCATTAAACTGTGGATTATACAGAACTAATAGTCTGGAAATCCTTACAATGAGTGGTTACAAAATCCAGCGCTATGTCAATAAATTAAAGATATAGAAAGGTAAAAAATGGAACAAGTAAGGACCAATGTAAACTACTGTATGACTGGGGGATATTTGGCTAGCAATTTGAGATTTCTACAAATGATTTAGGACAGCTTTCCCCAACCTGGTGCCCTCCAGATGTTTTATATTCCAATTCCCACAATACTTGATCATTGGGCCATGCTGGCTGGGGCTGGTGGTAAAAGGTAAAGGTAAGGGACCCCTGACAGTTAAGTCTAGTCACAAATGACTCTGGGGTTGCAGTGCTCATCTCACTTTACTGGCCAAGGGAGCCGACTTTTGTCCGCAGACAGTTTTTCTGGGTCATGTGGCCAGCATGACTAAGCCACTTCTGGTGACACCAGAGCAGCACACAGAAACGCCGTTTACCTTCCCGCAGGAGTGGTACCTATTTATTTACTTGCACTTTGACGTGCTTTCGAACTGTTAGGTTGGCAGGAGCTGGGACCGAACAACAGGAGCTTACCCCACTGCAGGGATTCGAACCGCCGTTTTGAATGGCAAGCCTAATTTAGGGTTCCTGGAAACAACAAGTTGAACACAGTGCATCAACGGTGGGGTATTGTGACAAAATAACAATGCCACTGATAACGGGGAAATAGTATTTGTCACAACACATATAAAAATGGGAAAGAGTTTACTAAAGGTTGGAGGAGAAGAGTATGGTTACCTTTGATAAAACTAGACAGGATGTGGAAGGAAATATATATCCTATAAATGGCCTTCTTTGAAGGTTTTGAGAATAGATTAGGCATAATCTACTGGGAATGCTCTAACTATATGACATCCTGGTTTAGGGCATACTGTTGATTCAGATAACTTCTTTCTCTACAAATTACCAAGCAGAATGGAAAGATAGTTAATACCAGACTATGTAGAGAAACAAGTCACATTGTTGATAGGTGAAGTTGAGCAGGGAGACATACATACATTCTTGTGCAGAGCTATACATATACAACTGCATACAGTATTCTATGGACTGGAGGAAATTGATATTTAATTGATTTTAAAAAACAACAACTTCCCTTTCTTATAAGTCTCAGTCTCTTGCTTGGCTCCAGAAAAACACCTATATATGAAGTCTAGGTTGGCAGCGAGCAAAAAAATGAGATTGAGGGCTAATATCAATGGAAAATCAAAGAATCATAGAATTGTAGAGGTGGAAGGGGCCAGGAGGATCATCTAGTCCAACCCTCTGCAATGCAGGAATCTTGAAGATGTAGTGCTGGCTGCTTGTTGAGGTTTGAGAATCATGCCTCCCTTCATGTGCCTTGTAGCTTCCTACAGTTTGACAGTTCCACAGGAAAAGTTATCCCACTACCTACAAAACGGCGTGATGTGTATCTATGAGCTGCAGTAATAAGCACATTTTACCCTCTAACAACCCAGCTCCATCCACTTAATATTGTAGGTGATAGATACACCACTGTGCTTGCCAATAGCTTTAGATTCTGTTTTCAAATACATATTTATCCCCACTGGCCCATTCATCAGTATTCCGCATTCTCTACCACCTGCACTTTTGCATCTAAAAATGACCAGTGCCTCTACTGCTTATAAACACTAGTTAGATGTACATGGTTCCACACAACTTCTCTGAATAATGCCTCACACAGGAATTGGCAATTAAGTTACAACATACTTATGATTTAATAACAAATAAACTTTATCCGTATTTGCTCCCACCAAGCCTAGTGGGGGCATGACTACTTAGCGGTTAAGTCTGAGGCTCTCTCACACTTAAAATGTATAAACAAGCAAGCAAATAAATAAAACAATTATCTGTATCTGCTCCCATCAAACCTAGAATAGGCATGTCCATTCCACTTCCTTGTCACAGCGCGTGGCATGGTTAAGTCTGCAGATCTCACACTTACAGATATTTGTTTATTTACTATGAAATTGTATCTGCTCCCACCAAGCCCAGAAGGCGCATGACCACTCCGCTTCCTTGCCACAGCGGGTGGGCAGTTAAGTCTGTGGATCTCACTTTAATAATAAATAAACAAATATCTGTATCTGCTCCCACCAAGCCCAGAAGGGGCTTGACCACTCTGCTTCCTTGCCACAGTGGGTGGGGCAGTTAAGTCCGTGGATCTCACTTTAATAAATAAGCAAGCAAGCAAGCAAGCAAGCAATTATGGGCATCTGCTCCCACTAAACCTAGAAGGGGCATGACCACTCCGCTTCCTTGCCACAGCGGGTGGGGCTTTTAAATCTGCGGATCTCACACTTACAATTTAATAGTAAATAAATAAATATCTGTATCTGGTCCCAGCGAGCCCTGAAGGGGCATGGCCGCTCCGTTTCCTAAGTCAATGGGATCACCTCGGCGGTCACACACATCCTCCCCCCCCAAGTCCCAGCCAACACTCCGGTACTGTTACCATCCCGGCGAAGCGAGACGCGGGATGCCCCGCTTCCTCGTTGGCGCCGCCGAGCTTTCCCTGCGGCGGCGACGGCTGGCGCTGTCCGCGGTGCTGACGGCCGCCCTCGCCTGCCACGTGCGCGCGGCTCCCTCCTTCCCTGCCGCCCCCCCCCCCCCCAGCCCGCGTCGTGTCAATTTAACGAAGGCGTGTGTGGGGAGTCTTCCACCCCTCTCTCTCTGCGCCCCTCCGTCCCGCCTCAGCGCTCACCTGCTCGGCGCCCTGGAAGCAGATCTTGCAGATGGGGCCGGCGCCGCCCCCGCCGCCATCCCCGCTGCTGTTGCTGCACACCGAGCGCGTCTCGGGCTTCTCGCCCCGGACGGCCCCGCCGGCGGCGGCCGTTACCTCAGGAGCCGGCGGAGGAGGAGGCGTCGCCGTCGCTTCCGAGCGCGGGGCGGGGCCCTCCGGCGGCTCGCCGAGGCTGCCGCCGCCGCCACCGCCGTTGCTGCTCATGGGGGGCCCCCCTCACAGACGCGCGTGCGTGTGTGTGTGTGTCCCCCCCTCCCACGCACGCCCAGTCTCGCCCCCTCCCCCTCTGCGGAGGGGAGAGAAGGGCTGGGACACGGGCACGAGCCTCCCGGCTGGCTGGCGAGGGGAGCGGTGGCCGCGTGCCGAGCCGCCGCCGCCGCCTCCTCCTCGCGCGCGCACCCCCTCCCTCCCGCGTAGGTTTTAGTGCCGGCGCGCGACTCCCCTCCGCATCTGACGCCTCAGAACGCGGCGGCGAGAGAAACCGTTGGGAGACCGTTGGCGGGCGCGAGCCCAGGTGGGGTGGGGGGAGGGGCGTGGGGATGGGGGGGAAAGCGCGCCAAAGGAAGACGCGCGCCTCGTCGTCACTCGCGGAACCGCCGCATAATGAAGCCGGGCACACGCACTCTGCCGACCCCCACCCACCCACCCCCCAAAATAGTGACTGGCGACGTCCCTCAGCCACCCGCCCTCACTCCCCGTCGACATAGTTGCCTGGCTACCTTTCCCCTCACCTCACAAAGGGGCCAAATGTCCTCTTCTTGTGGGGTCACGTGGTTGTTTTACCTCAGGTTTCCTTCGAGGGACCTGTCTGGCCTCGAAGCTGCCTCGCCTCGCTCTCGTTGAAATTCTACTCAGTATTGATCCAGAGTGGATTCCAATGTAAAAACTGGAAACACCGTTGCAGGATGCCCCCCACACAAAAATAGACCAGAGGCGTTTCAATCCGTCAGAGCTTTAGGGCTACTGAAGGCAAAGGAGCATAATGGTCAGGAATCCAATACATTCAGGATTGGCACTGTCCATAAGAAATCCATGCCGCACCACCCTGATGTGGCAAGGAGAGGATGGCGAGTGTGGCAGGAAGATTTAAATACAATCAAATAAACATTTAAACATTTCTGAGTAGTATAGTATTGTATAGCATACACACACATACACACACTTTTCAGTTTTATACATTTCACTAATTTTACAATCATTTTAACATTTCAAAACTTGACTTCCTTCCCCCTTTCTGAGGTCCCTTAAGTTTATTCTTAACACCTTCTGCATATCCAGTGTAACTTAATTGGCTCATTTATATATCTACTTTGAATATATGCTCTTATAAAACTGCAGGTCATTACAATAATCCTGGCAGTGTTCTTACCTGTTTGCAGTTTATCTGTAAATATTCCATATACCATTCCCATTCTTTTATTAAAAAGGTCCGTTATCTTGATTTCTTATTCTTCCAGCAAGTTTCACCATTTCTGCATATTCCATAAGTTTTTGTATCCCTTCTTCCTTTGCTGGGACTTCTGCTTCTTTCCATTTTGCAGCCAGTAACATTCTTGTTCCTGTAGTCGCATACACAAATAAGTTTCTATACAGTTTCAGTAGTTCTATCCCTATAATTCCCAAAAGAAAAGCATCTAAGTTTTTTTGTTTTTTTTACAAATGTTACTTTAAATATCCTTTTTTATTATTAATAATAGGCTTTATTGATGTTATTAAATAATAACAAACATATGTATATACTCAAGACATAAATACAAAAAGAAAGTCACATTTTTTGTTCCCTATACATTCTTCTTAAGTTCCCAACGACTTCCCGCCACCCCATCGTGTATTTACTGCTTATTTTATCTGGTGCACTATCAATCTCCATTTTCTTTTTAATCATCAGTAATATCTTCTATAATTATCCATCATGTCACAGAAGTCATTCCAGTCCTGCCAATGACTTTATACTAGTACAATAATCTTTTAAATACTTTTTATACATACCCCATTTCCGAATAAATGTTTGTTCAGTATTACCTCTCAATTTGTCTGTCATTTTTGCCAAAATGACGGGCAAAACTGGCAAAAATTAAACATCCTTTTCAATTCATTGTATATCATTTCCTAGGATCTTTAACCTGAAAATGTATTAGAATTCTCAGGCATTTGGTAACACATTTATAAAGGCATTTGCTGCTCCCTTGCATACCCTGAAAAGCTCATTTCTCCGTCTGCACACACATCAAGAGACACCTGCACCTCATTTGTTCTTATGCAAACATAAGAGCTCTGCTAGATCAGACCAAAGGCTTATCTAATCCGCCATCCTATTTTCAGAGTCGCCAACCAGACGCTTGTGGGAAGCACACAATAAGCACTCTCCCTACTTTATGATTTCCAGCAACTGGTATTCATACTGCTTCCGACAAGTGGAGGTAGAACATAGCCATAATGGCGAGTAGCTCCTGATAGCCTTGGCCTTTATAGATTTGCCTAAAGCTATCCAATTTGGCAGCAAATCACAACGTATGGGAATTAATTCCACAGTTCAGCTATGTACATTGTGCGAAGAAGTGTTTTCATTTGTGTGCCCTCAAACTTCCAGTGTTTAGCTTCACCGGATGTCCACAACTTCTTTTTTCTTCAAAGTTTTTTATTGATTTTCCAGATTTATAGCAAATACAACACACAAAGAAAAAGACATTACAATACTAAAAAGAAAGAAAAATAAAAGAAAAAGACAAAAATATAAACCAATATTATTCTACAACCCAATTTCATTGACATTGTTAACTGACTTCCTCGAACCCCCCCTATCTGAATTTCATTGAATCACCTTGTAACAGTTTTCCAAAATCCTCTTTCTAATGAAATTACCTCCTTCAAATAACTATCTTCCTTTCTTTTCAGCATGTCCTAAATCCATAATGTTTTAAAATACATTCATACTCCAATCCTAAGCCATTTCGGTACTTTCAAGTGACTTTTATTGTTTTATATTACAATATTTAGCTAAGTAGTCTTTAAATTTCTTCCAATCTTCTTGATATTCCTCTTCTTTATGATCGCGGATTCTCCCAGTCAGGTCAGCCAGCTCCAAAAAGTCTAACATTTTCATCTGCCACAACTTATAGCATTATGAGAGAGAAAGGAAAGCTCCTCTCTATCCAATTTCTCCACACTATACATCATCTTGTGCTTCTCTATTATGTCCTCCCTTACTTGTATTTTTCCTAAACTAAAAAGTCCCAAATGTTGTAACTTTTCTTCATGGGGTGTCACTCCAGCCCCTTGACCATTTTAGTTGTCCTTCCCCAACTCGACAATATCCATTCTGAGGTGGGGGTGATCAGAACTCTGCACAGTATTCCAAATGTGGTCACACCAAATATATTTTCAAATATATTTTCTTATTTTCAAACTCTTTAAAAAATGGTCCCTAACATGGATTTTGTCTTTTTCACATCTGCCACACACTGGGTTGACTTTTTCATCTCCATGTCCGCAAATCTTCTTCCTGGTAAGTCACCATCAATTAAGATTTTCTTCTTCTTTTGTCCCTGTGTGTATCAATTTGCACTTGCTTACATTGAGTGCAGTTGTCATTTTACTGCCCATTCACAGAGTTTAGAGAAATACTTTTGGAGTTCCTCACAGTCCTTACAATTTGAAGGTCTAAATACACAATGTCAATGGATTAATTCTATCTATATGCTTGTTGTCACTCTAAACTAATTCAAAAAGGTTAGTGAAGCAGGACTTTTAAAAAATATTATTTTTATTAAATTTTCTGCTTTACAATTTCAGATAAATATTTTACATACTTAAGCTATCAATGACTTCCCTTCTTCTCTTTCCATGGTTCATTTTACATATCTTGTATCCCTGCTATTTTACGAAAACTATACCAATCAACCAATCAGTTTTCCATTATTGCATCCATCAAAACTTATTTCCACTGTTGAATTTATCTTAATGCTGCCAGCGTTTTCAGCTGCACACAGTCATTTCCCATATATTCAATAAACGTTTTCCAATCACCTTGAAATGTATGTTGTTCTTGTTCTCTAATTCTCTATGTTAAGTCTGCAAGTTGTGCATTTTCTGTCAACTTAAGTTGCCATTCTTCTTTGGTTGCAAGCTCGCTCATTTTCTATTTTGGGGCTAACAAATCATGGGCTGCGGTTGTTGCATATATAAATAACCTTTTCTGACACCTGGGAATTTCAGTCTGAATTATCCCCAACAGAAAGGACTCTAGTTTTTTTGGGAAATAATTCCCAAAAAAGTCCTGAGGCAAGACTTATCCTTGTAGAAGGCATGTTGGCTTTGCATTATCTAAACTCAGTGGTTCCTATTTACTTTTTTATTTTAAAAAATGCATTAATATCACATCTAATTTAGCTTTGAGAACTAGTCTAGGCACATGTTCACAAGAAAATTTTTCAGCCCTACAGATCTATGCTTCTGTTCTGCATTTCATGTTTTATAATGTGATCCTTAAACTTTAACAAAACAAATTAAGTAGAATGGATATAAAGATGTGAGCTAATGCAGATGAGGAAACCGCAAAATTTTTGAAATACAACCACTGAAATAGATATATGGAATTGATAAATGAAAAAGAGTTATGGCCATATATCACCACATGTAGCTTCCACTTTTTGCTTCTTCAAGCACAAAAATCAATAAAAGTCTTTTGCTGAAGAACTACCCTATAACATAAATCAATTAAAGGAGCAACTGAATGCTTTTAAAATGTGTATATATAAGGAGGTAGAAAACAGAACTATGAAGAATTATTTATATTTTATATCAAATACTAGTATTGTTCTAATTTAACATTACTGAAAATAAAATGAACTACTTGAAAATGCAGAGACCATGTAATGATATAGCTTGAGAAATCACAAGATAATGTTCATGTAAACGTTATTCTTTCCCTCTTATGCTGGGAATGTTACAAAATACACCACTCGTCACTCCTCATGCTTTGAAGATTTGTCACCAGAGAACAAGTGCTGAACAGCAAAAGAATCCGAGAGACCATTTCTTAGACTAAGATTTATCTTGACTTTTTACATATCAGTCCCAAGGAGCTGGATTATCTGCTAGGAGGCAGAGGACTTCTGTCATTTCTGCAGTAATATCTGTCAGGATTAATAACTTGACCCAGCTGCCTGGGACTGATGAGCATTCCTGCTTGTAGTGAAGCTGATAGGAGCTGGGAAGCATTAGAAGAGCTTTTGGGGGTACTGGGGGAATCCCCCATGCTGGCAGAAGGGTATGCAATTTATCAAGCCATATCCCATAGCTTTATATGAGATCCTTTGCAGCTCTGTGTGGTGCTGCCTGGTATATTATAACAGGCTATAGAATCCTCCATCCAGGATATGATGACTTCCTATAATCTGTGAAGGGTGGTGCTGTGGGTTAAACCACAGAGCCTAGGACTTGCTGATCAGAAGGTCGGCAGTTCGAATCCCCGCGACAGTGTGAGCTGCCATTGCTCGGTCCCTGCTCCTGCCCACCTAGCAGTTTGAAAGCACGTCAAAGTGCAAGTAGATAAATAGGTACCACTCCAGCGGGAAGGTAAATGGCATTTCTGTGCGCTGCTCTGGTTCGCCAGAAGTGGCTTAGTCATGCTGGCCCCATGACCCGAAAGCTGTACGCCGGCTCCCTCGGCCAATAAAGCAAGATGAGCGCTGCAACCCCAGAGTCGGCCACGACTGGACCTAATGGTCAGGGGTCCCTTTACCTTTACCTATAATCTGTGAAAGGGCAGCGGGCATAGCCACACACACATTGTGGCCTCGATCATTTTCTTTGCAGTTGCTCATAATCCATGCACAGAAGCACAGAGAAGTTGCTAATTTGACATGCACAGGAAAGAGAAAAGAGAATAGTGAAACAGACAGATGAAAAACACAATAACAAAATAAAAGATATACAGGCAAGTGCTGTTGTCTGGCCAAATTGTGTTCAGAGGGTATATATTGCTGATGCTGTCCAGTAATAAATGTTTACATAACACGTGGGGGTCTTGTAGTAAGCTTAAGGCTTACTGGGAAATGATATATGATGAATTGAAAAGGATGTTTAAAATAACTTTTATTTTTTTAAAAAACCAGAAGCTTTTCTTTTGGGAATTATAGGGATAGCACTACCTAAATTGTATAGAAACTTATTCATGTATGCTACTACAGCAGCAAGAATGGTACTCGCCCCCAAATGGAAAGAAGCAAAAGTCCCAGCAAAGGAAAAATGGATACAAAAACTTATTGAATATGCAGAAATGGTGAAATTTACTGGAAGAATAAGAAAGCAAGAAACAAACTTTTTATAAAAGAATGGAAATGGATTAAATAATATTTACAGATAAATTGTAAACAGATAAGAACATTGGCAGGATTACTGTAATAACCTGAAGTTTTATTAGAGTATATATTTAAAGTAGATGAATAAATGAGCAAATTAAATTAACTTGGATATGCAGAAGATATTAAAAATAAATTTAAGGAACTGCAGAAAAAGGGGGAAGTCAAGGTTTGAAATGTTAAAATGATTGTAAAATTAGTGAAATGTATAAACCTGAAAAGCATAAATAATTTTTTTTAAAAAAACTCCACCCATTCCCAACCTGTATATTTGTAATAAAAAAAACCAACAACAAAAAACAACCTCCTAGTTTTAAAACACACACACACACACACACACACACACGTTTACATAGCCTGTTGAGAGAATGAAGTATGTATTCATTTCCATTATCATTATCTAATGTATAGCCTAGAAGAGAGATGGGGTTCTCTGATTAGACTACAAATATTATTTTGTGAAGAGATATAAATATTTAATGAATATATACTGTATAGTTCTCTTAATCTTCTGACAAGGTTGTGATCCTGTTAACACTTTGAAGCAGGTACCATTGAGCCTAGAAGAATAGAAAGCAAGTAGGACAGAAAACGAAAGCAAAAAGTACAATGGCATCTGTACAGTGGGTATGGAACATGGGAATGAGAACATCAGTGTGAAGAACTGATATCCATAGCTGATGGAGAAAACATGAGGGGAGGAAATGATTGGTAAAAGGTCAAAACTTCAAGGACTGATAGTGGTAGCTATTTCGCTTTCTTGACTCCTCCCATGTTCTTTAATGCAACTCTAGGTTCATTTTACTCATAGCACACCCCATAAGAACCATGAACCACCGCATTGTGTTTCAACCAATGAATTAATATCGGATTCGGAGTGAGTTTCAACCAAGCAGGACAGAGCTAATAGGCTGGGACAGTTGCATTGTCCATCTCCGTATATGCAAACTTCTTGTTTCCAGAAACTAGAAACGATAAGCGTGTTCCTATGCTGCTGGCACAACAATCATAGACGTTGTTCCCTGGAAAAGGAACAATTAAAAGGGCAGATGTTAGTCAGCTTCCTGTTTACTAAACCTATCCACATATCCCAGTTCTAAAACACTACCTCTTTAACGATAAACCACTGTGTAGGTGAAACAATTGGTTGTCAGAAAAAGTTGGGTTTTAGATCGTTGTCGGTGTTGGCAGAAAGACCAACTTTTCTTATTATAAGTGCAGCCCTCAAGCTGACTTGTTCTGAAGTGATTCTGTGACCTCAGTGGAACTTAAAGGATATATATTCTATATTGCAGCTGCTAACTCCTGCCCACTAATTGCCTTGAAGATCCAAGGACTCCCGTATATCATGTTTACTTTGGGAAACTTAAACAGCATATGGAAGCTGTGCATTTAGGGATCAATTAACAGCCTCACAGGAACTATGTGTCAAGTGTCTTTCGGAAGCGTATTTATCAATCTAAGGCTGCAGCCCTATGCACACTGACAGTAAACCACATTGAACTCAATGGGACCCACTTCCAAGAAAATCTGCATACCATTGGGCTGTATTATTCAAATCAATAAACATCAAGACACATTAAGCATCCTGAACGATAGAATTACACTGTAGTTTAAATGTAGGCAAGCGCAGTGTCCAAACTAATTTTCACACAGATAGCTCAAAGGCCAGACTCTAGTTCACATTGTAATGATAGGCAATGAAAGTGATGAATTGCATGCCATATAAAGAAACCAGCTAAAATGACACATTTCCTTGTTCTTAAGATATGGCTGGCATTTTAAGTAAATATTACTAATAAATCTATTAAGGGAAGTAGCACTCATTAACTGGATACTTCCATCTTTATGAAACACACACACACACACACACACACACACACAGTGATAAAATACTGCATGTTCACATCTACTGTGGTGTCTTCACATAGTAGAAAAGTACTATAATTTATCTTCCCCCATTTGTCATCAGCGGCTTTGAACTGATGCTTGAAAAGTGATCACGTTAATGTGGTAGAAATATGAGCTGCTATCAATGGTTTCAAGGGACAAGGGTGGCACTGTGGGTTAAACCACAGAGCCTAGGACTTGCCGATCAGAAGGTCGGCAGTTCGAATCCCCGCGACGGGGTGATCTCCCGTTGCTCGGTCCCTGCTCCTGCCAACCTAGCAGTTTGAAAGCACATCAAAGTGCAAGTAGATAAATAGGTACCGCTCCGGTGGGAAGGTAAACGGTGTTTCCGTGCGCTGCTCTGGTTCGCCAGAAGCGGCTTAGTCATGCTGGCCACATGACCGGGAAGCTGTACGCCGGCTCCCTCGGCCAATAAAGCAAGATGAGCGCTGCAACCCCAGAGTTGGCCACGACTGGACCTAATGGTCAGGGGTCCCTTTACCTTTATCAATGGTTTCATATTTGCCTGTTTCCCACAGCTTATTCTAAATATTGCCCTTTTTGATCTTCATCATCTCGTTTTTGCACCTTGACCTAAAGTCAATACACAAACAAATGAGCTTGTTTTAATTAAAGAATAGAGGACACCATTATTTTAAGAAGCTACAGTTAAACACTATAGTATTTTAGAGACATGAGATTTAGTGAGTCCCCAAATTTATGTAGATATCTTAGACTCAAGCTACATCTTGTTTTTGCTTCCTTCTCTCACAGCTAATAGGGGTTATAGTCTAGGTTAATAGCCTGCAGCTCCCCATTCATTTAGTCATCCATTGATCATTAAAACTTCCTGAAAGGACTTTGTGTTGAAGCTTTAATAGCTGTAATATATGGACACTTGCCCTAAAGCAATCACATTCTTTATGATACCGAGGAAATATTTGCATGTAGTCATCAGCACTAATATGCAACTTTGTTTATTTCTCTGTTCCTTTCTTTGTTTTCTTAGAGAGCCATCTAATTGTTTCC